GGTGTTTAGGGGGGTTTGGGGGTGGTTTTGACCCCCTTTGTCCCCCCAGGAGACCCTCCGCACGGCGCTCGCTGTCGGGGCCGACCGGGCGGTGCTGGCCGAGGTGGGGGAGGGGGTGGCCCTGGGGCCCCTCGAGGTGGCCACGGCCCTGGCCGGGCTGGTGGGGAAGATCCAGCCCCAGCTGGTGCTGCTGGGCAAGCAGGTGAGCCCCTATAGACACCTACAGACACCCTATAGGTCCCCTATAGACTCCCTGAAACCACAGCTGGTCCTGCTGGGCAAGTGAGACCCTATAGGGTCCTACGGACACCCCTATAGACCCCTATGGACCCTTATAGACCCCCAAGGACCCCCACGGGCCCCTATGGACATCCCTATAGACCCTTATAGACCCCTAGAGATCCCCTAAAGGCCCCCTGAAACCCCAGCTGGTGCTGCTGGGCAAGCAGTGAGACCCCCCATAGATCCCCTATGGGCTCTCACGGACCCTTATGGACCCTCCTATAGACACCTGTGCACCCCCATATAGGCCCCTGTGGACCCCCGCAGCCCCGGGAGGGTCCCTGTGGCCCGGGGGCTGTGGTGGGTTCCCTATAGCCCCCATAGGACCCCCCCTGTCCCCCCCCAGGCCATCGATGACGACTGTAACCAGACGGGGCAGCTCCTCGCCGCCATGTTGGACTGGCCGCAGGTACCGCGGGGCACGACGGGACACTGGGGGTGTGCGGCTATCCCGGCATCCCCCGCGGCACCGACCATAGAGATCGACCATAGAGATCATGGCCGCGCGCGGGGCATGACGGGACAGTGGGGGTCTGCGGCCGGAGGGGGATATATCCCATCGTCCTTTGCGGCGGTTTCTGCGCGGGGGGGGGCCCAGTTTATGCTGGGAACGCCTCAGTTTGTACTGGGAGAGGCTGTTTTACACTGGGAACGGCCCGTTTCACACTGGGAAGGGCTCCCAGCCCTTACTGGGGCAATCCAAGCCCATAGTGGGATGTCCCCGTTCCTTACTGGGATGCCCTCGTTTCACACTGGGATGCCCCCACTCCATTGTGGGTGGTCCCACCCCGCACTGGGACGCTCCCAGTCCATCCCAGTCCCCTCTGTCCCCAGGGCACCTTCGCCTCCCGTGTCCAGCTGGAAGGCGGCTCCGTGCGGGTGGAGCGGGAGGTGGACGCGGGGCTGGAGACGCTGCGGTTGCGCCTCCCGGCCGTTCTCACGGCGGATCTGCGGCTCAACGAGCCCCGTTACGCCACCCTGCCCAACATCATGGTGAGTGGGGCACCCCCAACCCCCCTGAGCCAGGGGAACCCCCCTCCAGTCCTGGGAACACCCCCGGAATCCTGGGACCCCCCTCAAAATCCCCATTGACTGGGCAGACCTGGGTGTCCCCCCTCTTTTGGGTGCCCCCCGAACCCCTGGGTCCTCTTTGGGAGAATTTGGGGAGGGTTTGGGGTGTCTCCCAACCCCCTGGAACACTTTGGGGTGGGTTTGGGAGGGGTCCCATCCCTTGGATCCTTTTAGGTGATTTTGGGGGGGGGGCCTTCAACCCCTTGGATCCCTTTTTTGGGGGGCGTTTGGGGAGGGGATTTTGGGGGGGTTGGGGTCTGACTCCCTGTGCCCCCCAGAAAGCCAAGAAGAAGCCCCTGGAGGTGATCCCAGCTGCAGATTTGGGGGTCCCCGCGGGGCCCCCCCGGCTCCGGGTGCTGCAGGTTCAGGAGCCCCCGGCCCGGGCGGGGGGGGAGAAGGTGGAAAACGTCCCGGCCCTGGTGGAGAAGCTGCGGAGCTGCGGCCGCATCTGAGGGGTAAACCAGGACGGACCAGTACGGACCAGTGCCCTCCAGGAACCCCCCAGTAACCCCCAGTGCCTTCCAGCCTGGGCCAGTGCCCCCCATCCCCGCCTAGTGCCCCCAGGACCCCCCCCCCGTCAGCCCAGGCCCCCCAGTGCCTTGTACTTCCCCCAAATAAAGGCGTGGCTGCTCGATGTCATTGTGTCTATGGGGGTGTGGCCTGAGGGTGGGTCAGATATGGGACCATTCGTTCCCTTTTTACGGGGTTTTGGGGGGGTGGGACCAGCATGGACCAGTTTGGCACTTGGGGGGTCCCAGTGGGGGCCAGTTTGTCCCCAGAGCATCCTCGTTTGTCCAGTCCCGTCCCAGTTTGTCCTGGTCTGGTCCCAATTTGGCCAAGATTGACACAGTCCATCCCAATTTGTCCCAGTCCATCCCAGTTCATCCCAATTTGTCCCAGTTTATCCCAGTCTGTCCCAGTTTATCTCAGACCGGTCCCGGTTTACCCCAGTCCATCCCAATTTATCCCAGTGTGTCCCAGTTTGTCCCACTCCGGTCCCAGTTTGTCCCAATTCGTCCCGGTCCCGCCCCGGCCCCGCCCCGTTGCCGAGCAACGCCCGGCTCCGCCCCCGTGCGCTGTCACTCAAACCCCCCACCCAATCACGGGGCGCGCCGTCCGCCGGGGCGGAGCTCGCGCTGACAGGCGGGACCGCGAAACAATGGGAACACGCGGAGGGCGGGCCCTGCGGCGGCTCCAGCCAATGAGCGGCGGCCGGGCCCTGCAGCAGCGGCGCGGGCGGCCCCGTGCAGCCCCTCAGAGCCGGGGCGGCGGCCAAGATGGCGGCGGCGGACGGAGATGACTCGCTCTACCCCATCGCCGTCCTCATCGACGAGCTCCGCAACGAGGACGTGCAGGTACCGCTCCCCGCTATATCCGAGGTCCCTGTAGCGATAGCCGGGGCCCTGTCGCGATATTCGCGGTCCCTCCGCGGCCGCGGGGCCCTCCCGTGGTCGCTCGTCTGAGACGGCCATTCTGATTGGCTGCGGAGGCCTCCCCCCCTCAGGCACGGGCCAATGGGGAGCGACGTTACATCTGAGGAACAGGGGGGTGTCTCACCCTCACGGTGATGGGATGCATGGTGCGCTCTGATTGGTTGCTGGGCCCCTTTAATTGTGTTACACGCGTTTTGATTGGCCTGGAATAACCCCTCTCTAGCGTGGCGCCCCCTGGCGGCGGGGCAGCGCCTGGTGACCCCGCCTCCGCCTACGCTGGCAAATGGGAGTGCGAGGCCGAGACGGCGGCGGCTGCCCATTGGCTGGCGACCTGCGTGGGCGGGGCGGGGAGGAGCCAATGGAGGTGCTCCTCTTAGCAGAGGCGCTGCGGGGCCGTGAGACAAGGCTCCTGATTGGCTGGATGGCCTTGGGGGCGTTCCCAGTGGGGGGCTTTAATTACTTCTGGAATGTTTTAATTACCCCAGGGGGTGCTTCAGTTACCCCTGAGAGAGTATTTTGACCCCTGGAGAGCCTTTAATTACCCGGGGGAGGCAGTTCCTGACCCCTTTTCCCCCCCAGCTGCGGCTCAACAGCATCAAGAAGCTCTCGACCATCGCGCTGGCGCTGGGGGTGGAGAGGACCCGCAGTGAGCTCCTGCCCTTCCTCACCGGTACGGGGACCCCCGGGGCTGGGAGGGGGCCCAAAACCCCCCTAAACCGGGCCCAAAGCCCCCAAACCCAGCGTTGGATGGGGGTGGGCGGGACTTGGGGTGACTGACTGCTCAGGAGGGCTGATTGATCAGTTGATTGATTATTGGTTACAGACACAATCTATGATGAGGACGAGGTGCTCTTGGCGCTCGCGGAGCAGCTCGGGACCTTCACTGCCCTCGTGGGGGGACCCGAGTTCGTGCACTGCCTGCTGGTAGGACCCCAAAATACACCTAAAATACCCCAAAATAACCTCCCAAACGCCCCAAAGCACCCCAAAACCACACCTGGGAACCCCAAAACTGCACATTGGGCTCCCGTGGGGTGACACTGGGCACACGAGGGACCCCGGGGCGGGTTGAGTGGTCCTTGGGGTGGTTTTGTCGGCCCTCTGGGACACGAGGGACCTGCAGATGGTTTGTGGGGACACGAGGGACCACGGGATGGTTTGGGTGGCCCGTGGGTTTCGTGGGGTGGTTTGGGAGCTCCCCGGGCACACGGGACACCCCTCGGTGACGGTCCCACCCCGCTGTGCCCGCAGCCCCCCCTGGAGAGCCTGGCCACGGTGGAGGAGACGGTGGTGCGGGACAAGGCGGTGGAGTCCCTGCGGGCCGTGTCCCACGAGCACTCGCCCCCCGACCTCGAGGGCCACTTCGTGCCGCTGGTGAAGCGCCTGGCGGGGGGCGACTGGTTCACGTCGCGCACCTCGGCCTGCGGCCTCTTCAGCGTCTGCTACCCCCGCGTGTCCAGCCCCGTCAAGGCCGAGCTGCGCCAGTGAGTGCCGGGGCTGACTCTGCCGGGGGTCACCGACCCCACCTGGGGGTCACCGACCCACCCCTGGGGTCACCGACCCCACCTGGGGGTACCAACCCACCCCTGGGGTCACCAACCCACCCCTGGGGTCACCAACCCACCCCTGGGGTCACCGACCCCACCTGGGGGTACCAACCTAACCCTGGGGTCACTGACCCAACCTGGGGGTACCAACCCAACCCTGGGGTCACCAACCCACCCCTGGGGTCACTGACCCCACCTGGGGGTACCAACCCACCCCTGGGGTCACCGACCCCACCTGGGGGTACCAACCTAACCCTGGGGTCACTGACCCCACCTGGGGGCACCAACCTAACCCTGGGGTCACCAACCCAACCCTGGGGTCACCGACCCCACCTGGGGTACCAACCTAACCCTGGGGTCACCGACCCCACCTGGGGGTCACCGACCCACCCCTGGGGTCACCGACCCCACCTGGGGGTACCAACCCACCCCTGGGGTCACCGACCCCACCTGGGGGTACCAACCCACCCCTGGGGGTACCAACCCCACCTGGGGGTCACCGACCCAACCTGGGGGGCACCAACCCACCCCTGGGGGTACCAACCCACCCCTGGGGTCACTGACCCCACCTGGGGGGCACCAACCCACCCCTGGGGGTACCAACCCAACCCTGGGGTCACCAACCCAACCTGGGGGTACCAACCTAACCCTGGGGTCACCGACCCCACCTGGGGGTACCAACCTAACCCTGGGGTCACTGACCCCACCTGGGGGTCACCGACCCAACCTGGGGGTACCAACCCAACCCTGGGGTCACCAACCCAACCTGGGGGTACCAACCCACCCCTGGGGTCACTGACCCCACCTGGGGGGTACCAACCTAACCCTGGGGTCACCGACCCCACCTGGGGGTACCAACCTAACCCTGGGGTCACCGACCCAACCTGGGGGTACCAACCCACCCCTGGGGTCACCAACCCCACCTGGGGGTACCAACCCACCCCTGGGGTCACTGACCCCACCTGGGGGGTACCAACCCACCCCTGGGGTCACCGACCCAACCTGGGGGTACCAACCCAACCCTGGGGTCACCAACCCCACCTGGGGGTACCAACCCACCCCTGGGGTCACTGACCCCACCTGGGGGGTACCAACCCACCCCTGGGGTCACCGACCCAACCTGGGGGTACCAACCCAACCCTGGGCATACCAACCCACCCCTGGGGTCACCGACCCCACCTGGGGGTACCAACTCACCTCTGGGGTCACCGACCCCACCTGGGGGTACCAACCCACCCCTGGGGTCACTGACCCAACCTGGGGGTACCAACCCAGCCCTGGGGTCACTGACCCCACCTGGGGGGCACCAAGCCAACCCTGGGCACACCTGGGCACAGCTGTGCTCACCTGGGCACACCTGGGCACACCTGGGCACACCTGTCCCCCCCGGCCGCAGGTACTTCCGGAACCTGTGCTCGGACGACACGCCCATGGTTCGCCGCGCCGCCGCCTCCAAGCTGGGTGAGTTTGCCAAGGTGCTGGAGCTGGAGCACGTCAAGAGCGAGATCATCCCCATGTTCTCCAACCTGGCTTCCGACGAGCAGGTGGGCACACCTGGGCACACCTGGGGGGCACTGTGGGTACCTCAGGGACACCTGGGCACACCTGGGGGGCACTGTGGGTACCTCAGGCACACCTGGGCACACCTGGGGGGCACTGTGGGTACCTCAGGGACACCTGGGCACACCTCGGGGGCACCTGTGGGTACCTGCAAGTACCTGGGGGGGCAGCTGTGGGCACATACGGGTACCTGGGGGGGCAGCTGTGGGCACATACGGGTACCTGGGGGGGCAGCTGTCCCTCCCCTGTGCCACCTGTGCCACCTGTGCCACCTGTGCCCGCAGGACTCCGTGCGCCTGCTGGCGGTCGAGGCCTGTGTGAGCATCGCGCAGCTGCTGCCGCAGGAGGAGCTGGAGGGGCTGGTGATGCCCACCCTGCGCCAGGCGGCCGAGGACAAGTCCTGGCGCGTGCGGTACATGGTGGCCGACAAGTTCACCGAGGTGGGGGCACCCCCGGGGGGCCTCTGGGGGGATCCGGGGGGGGTTTTGGGGGGATGTTTGTGCGGGGACCCCTCGGGGACACGTGGGGACACGTGGGGACACGTGGGGACAGTGGCACCGTGTCCCCGCAGCTCCAGCGCGCGGTGGGGCCCGAGATCACCAAGACCGACCTGGTGGGCGCCTTCCAGAGCCTGATGAAGGACTGCGAGGCCGAGGTGCGGGCGGCGGCCTCACACAAGGTCAAAGGTCAGCAGGGACCCCGGCACGGCCCCAAAGCCGTCTGTCACCACCCCAAGGTGTCCCCAGATCCCTCTGTCACCACCCCAAGGTGTCCCCAGATCCGTCTGTCACCACCCCAAGGTGTCCCCAGATCCCTCTGTCACCACCCCAAGGTGTCCCCAGGTCCGTCTGTCACCACCCCAAGGTGTCCCCAGATCCGTCTGTCACCACCCCAAGGTGTCCCCAGATCCGTCTGTCACCACCCCAAGGTGTCCCCAGATCCGTCTGTCACCACCCCAAGGTGTCCCAGGTCTGTCTGTCACCACCCCAAGGTGTCCCCAGGTCTGTCTGTCACCACCCCAAAGTGTCCCCAGGTCCGTCTGTCACCACCCTCGGGGTCATCAAATCCACCTGTCACCACCCCAGAACGGCCCCAAATCCGTTTGTCGCTGTCTCTGAACGTCCCCAAATCCCCATCACACTTCTAAATGTCCCCAGACCCCCCTGATGTCCCCTCTGTGTCCCCTCTGTGTCCCCAGAGTTCTGTGAGAACCTGTCCCCGGACTGTCGCGAGGCCGTGATCATGGGCCAGATCCTGCCCTGCATCAAGGTGAGGCACTGGGGCACCTGGGGGCATCTTTTGGCACCTCCCAGTGGCCTCAGGGCCCATGGGGGTGGCCTCGGGTGTCAGTGTGTCCCTACCTGTCCCCCATGTTCCCCCTGTTCCCACCTGTGCTCACCTGTGCCCCCGTCCCAGGAGCTGGTGTCCGACGCCAACCAGCACGTGAAGTCGGCGCTGGCCTCGGTGATCATGGGCCTGTCCCCGATCCTGGGCAAGGACAACACGGTGGAGCACCTGCTGCCCCTGTTCCTGGCACAGCTCAAGGACGAGGTGGGGCACCTGGGGGCACCTGGGACACACCTGGGGGCACCTGGGGACACCTGGGGGACATGGGGGACACAGAGAGCACCTGCTGCCCCTGTTCCTGGCACAGCTCAAGGACGAGGTGGGGCACCTGGGGGCACCTGGGACACACCTGGGGGCACCTGGGGACACCTGGGGGACATGGGGGACACAGAGAGCACCTGCTGCCCCTGTTCCTGGCACAGCTCAAGGACGAGGTGGGGCACCTGGGGGCACCTGGGGACACCTGGGGAGGTACCACCCGCTGCCACCTGCTCCCAGTAACCCCCCCCAGTCCCTCCCAGTGCCCCCGTGCAGGGCCGGCCACCCCTCCCAGAGCCCCCCAGTGACCCCCGCGTGTCCCAGTGCCCCGAGGTGCGGCTGAACATCATCTCCAACCTGGACTGCGTGAACGAGGTGATCGGGATCCGGCAGCTGTCCCAGTCCCTGCTGCCCGCCATCGTGGAGCTGGCCGAGGACGCCAAGTGGAGGGTGCGCCTGGCCATCATCGAGTACATGCCGCTGCTGGCCGGGCAACTGGTGAGACTGGGACCACTGGGAGGGACTGGGAGGGCTGGCCTGGCCATCATCGAGTACATGCCGCTGCTGGCCGGGCAACTGGTGAGACTGGGACCACTGGGAGGGACTGGGAGGGCTGGCCTGGCCATCATCGAGTACATGCCGCTGCTGGCCGGGCAACTGGTGAGACTGGGACCACTGGGAGGGACTGGGAGGGCTGGCCTGGCCATCATCGAGTACATGCCGCTGCTGGCCGGGCAGCTGGTGAGACTGGGACCACTGGGAGGGACTGGGACCACTGGGAGGGACTGGGAGGGCTGGGAGGGACTGGGAGGGCTGGCCTGGCCACCATCGAGTACATGCCACTGCTGGCCGGGCAACTGGTGAGACTGGGACCACTGGGAGGGGCGTCATAGTGGTATGGAGTGGTTCATACTGGTCTGTACTGGTTCGTACTGGTCCATACTGGTTTCTCTTCCCCCCCCCAGGGCGTGGAGTTCTTCGATGAGAAGCTGAACTCGCTCTGCATGGCTTGGCTGGTGGATCACGGTACTGGGAGCACTGGGAGCTACTGGGGGGTTACTGGGAGCCCTGAGGGGGTATGGGACCCCCTGGGGGTGGTGTTCCTGGCCCGTGCTGGTCCTTACTGGTCCATACTGGTCCCGCAGTGTACGCCATCCGCGAGGCCGCCACCAGTAACCTGCGCAAGCTGGTGGAGCGGTTCGGGCACACCTGGGCCCAGGGCACCATCGTGCCCAAGGTGTTGGCCATGGCCGCCGACCCCAACTACCTGCACCGCATGACCACCCTCTTCTGCATCAACGTGAGAGCCTGGGGGGCACCTGGGGGGCACCTGGGCACACCTGGGGGGGCTGGGGGCACATGGGGGACACCTGGGCACACCTGGGGGGCACCTGGGGCAACCAATCCCAACCACCTGCACCGCATGACCACCCTCTTCTGCATCAACGTGAGAGCCTGGGGGGCATCTGGGGGGCACCTGGGCACACCTGGGGGACACCTGGGCACACCTGGGGGGGCTGGGGGCATATGGGGGACACCTGGGCACACCTGGGGGGCACCTGGGACAACCAATCCCAACCACCTGCACCGCATGACCACCCTCTTCTACATCAACGTGAGAGCCTGGGGGGCATCTGGGGGGCACCTGGGCACACCTGGGGGGCACCTGGGCACACCTGGGGGGGGGCTGGGGGCACATGGGGGACACCTGGGCACACCTGAGGGGCATTGGGGGGCATCTGACGGGGTCTGGGAGCACCTGGGCGCACCTGGGCGGGTTGTGTGGGCGGGAGGTGACCGCGCAGCAGGTGCTGGGGGGGCGGGTTCGGGGCTCTGTGGGCGTGTCCCAGGTGTGTCCCAGGTGTCTCAGGCGTGTCTCACCTGCCCCCCAGGTGCTGTCCGAGGTGTGTGGGCAGGAGGTGACCACGCAGCAGATGCTGCCCACGGTGCTGCGCATGGCGGCCGACGCCGTGGCCAACGTGCGGTTCAACGTGGCCAAGTCGCTGCAGCGCATCGGGCCCATCCTGGACAGCGGGTAAGGGCACCTGGGCACACCTGGGCGCACCTGTGTGCACCTGTAACACCTGTACACACGTGTGCATACCTGAACACGCCTGTGCACCCCTGTCCCACCCGTCCCAGGACGCTGCAGACGGAGGTGAAGCCGGTGCTGGAGAAGTTGACGCAGGACCAGGACGTCGACGTCAAGTATTTCGCACAGGAGGCACTGACAGGTGAGGGACACCTGGGGGACACCCGGGGGGGCTTGGGACACACCTGGGGGGACGCGGGGGGGCTTGGGACACACCTGGGGGACACCCGGGGGGGCTTGGGACACACCTGGGGGACACCCGGGGGGACTTGGGACACACCTGGGGGGATGCGGGGGGACATGGGACACACCTGGGGGGACATGGGACACAGGGGGGTCATGGAGGGGACGTGGGACACCTGGGGGGGTGGGGAACACCTTGGGGGGGATACACTTGGGGACACCTGGGGACATGTGGGGGCACACGGGGTGTTGGGGACACTGGGGGGACATAAAGGACAGCTTTGGGGGGGGACACAGGAGGGGACACAGGAGCGACATTGGGGGCGTTTGGGAGCACTGTGGGGGTCTCGGGGTGGGCTCTGGTGACACTTGGGGACACGGAGGTCACCCTGTGACCTCTCTGTCTCCCCCCCCTCCCTCCCACAGTGCTGGCCTTGGCCTGACCCCCCCTGGGACCCCCCCGCATGTGACCGGCGCTGTGACCCCCCCCGGTGTCACCCCCCCTCCTTTCGGTGTCCCCTCCCCCCCCGGGGGTGTCACCGTGTCCCCCCTTCCCCTTCCCCCCCTTTCCCGCGCTGTTAATTAATTAATTACTGGTTATTTCGCCGTTAATAAAAACGACAACGAGGGTCCGCTGCCGTTTATTTTTGGTGGGGGGGGGCGACAAAAGGGGATATTTGGGGTGGGAGGGTGGTGCGTATATTGTGGGTGCGTCACGTGGTGCAAGAAACGCCCCCCCGGCAATAAAAAGAAGGGTTGTGGCCCTTTAAATCCAGCTGAGGGTGTGGTCTCTGCTGACCACGCCCCCTAGCTGCGCACGCGCAGTTCCCCCTCGCTTGGCCACGCCTCCCCGCGCCGCAGCCGGGACCCGGCGAGAGGCGGGAAAAGCTCCGGGACCCCCGTGGGGGAACAGAGACCCCCCGGGACCTTTGGGGACCCCCCCGAGGGGATCCGGGACCCCCCGGGACCTCCCGGGCGCCCCCAGAGCCCCCTCAGACACCCCGCGGGTTCCCGGATGTCGGACTCGGGGCAAAGCCCCGCCCCCGCCGCGCGCAGGCGCTGCTGGAACCGCGAGAAGGAGCCGGAAGGAGGCGGGGCCGAGAGACGGGTGGGCGGGGTTTAGGGTGATTGGCAGACGCAGGGTGGGAGAGGGCGTGACTTCACTCTTTGGGCGGGGCTTGTGCGATGAGGGGGCGTGTCTGGAGCTTTGTGGGCGGTGTTATAGATGTGTGGGCGTGGATAGCTCGCGGTGGGTGTGGCCTGAGCCAAGGGCATGACCCTGCTGACCCCGTTTCCCCCCCCAGGAGGTGGGGGAGGAGCCCCCGGGGCCCCCCCAGAAGACCCCGATCATCCTGGCGAAGCCCCCCGGAGAACGGGTGAGCGGGGGGGGCACTGGGAGGGACTGGGGGGCACTGGGAGGGACTGGGAGGGACTGGGAGGGCAGTATGAGCTTGTATGGGGGCAATGGGAGGGAACTGGGAAGGACTGGGAGGGTGTTACACGCTCTGATGTCATCATTTGGGATGGGCGTGTCCCCAGCAGGCTCCACCCACCCAGAAGGCGGGACCATTGCAGGCCCCGCCCCCTCCCGCACCGGCCCCGCCCATCGTGCTGATGAAGGCACGGGGTGAAGAGGGGCGGGGCCTCTCAGGGGGTGGGGCCTCCCAGGGGGAGGGGCCAGTGCAGCCCCCGCCCCCTGAGAGGGAGGGGCCCCGCCCCACCCAGCCCATGTACCAACTGCACGGGAGGGGCCTCCCCCCCCCGGGGGCGCCCGACCGTGAGTGGGGGAGGGGCCGAAGGGGGGAGGGGCTGGGGTGTGCAAATGAGGGGGCGGAGTCAATGAGGGAGGGGTTGAAGTATGTAAATGGAGGGGTGGGGTCAGTGGTGGGAGGGGCAATGGTTTGGGGGCAGGGCTAAGGGCTGGGTGGGGTAGGAGGGGAGGGGTTAAAGGTTGTGGGTGTGGCTAAATGTTTTTGGGCGTGGTTTGGGTACTGGGTGGGGCTAAGGGGGTGAGACTGAGGGGCGTGGTTAAATGGGGTGGGTATGGCTAAGTGTGGGCGTGGCTTAGGGTTGTGGGTGGAGCCAAGGGAGGGGACTGAGCTCAGGGGGTTGGACAGACAGAGGGGGCGGGGTTTAAGGGTTTGGGGGTGCAGGTAATGGTGATGGGCGTGGTCATCATTTGTGGGCGGGGTCAGGCTCAAGTGGGTGGGGCTAAAACCTTGGACTGGTGCCTGTGGGGAGTTCGGATAAAGGGAGGGGGGAGGGGTTTGGGATTGTGGGTGTGCCCCCCCAAAGGGGGTGTGCCCCCAGTGGGTGTGGCCCCACCTGTCTGGCCCCGCCCCCTCCCAGCGGCCCAGGCCCAGGCCCGGCTGGCGGCGCCCGAGAAGATGAAAACCAGTATCAAACTGGTGGACGAGCAGATGAACTGGTGCGACAGCGCCCTCGAGGTGGGGGGGACGGGGGGTCCGGGAGCGGGTGGGGAGGGGTTTGGGGGTGTCCCAGACCCCTCCCAGTGACTCCCAGCGCTCCCAGTTCCTCATGGAGCAGACGGACGTGCTCGTGGTCGGGGCCCTGGGGCTGCAGGGGACGGGCAAGTCCACGGTGCTGTCACTGCTGGCCGGGAACCAGCCCGAGGAGGACCCGCGGTACTGGGGGCACTGGGAGGGGCTGGGAGGGGGTCATGGGCTCCGGGGGGGGCACTGGGGGGCACTGGGAGGGGG